ACCAAAGCAAAAAGATTACTAATACCGAGCTAATCCAAAAATAGAGAAATTCTATCAAAATTAAATCACTCAGCAAACAACAAACCTTGCTTGGAATTAAAACTCCAAATTAATTCAGTCATAGATTTTTTTTTGTCAGAAAAAAAATGATAGCCATCAGCTTTGTTATGAACTTCATCAAAAATTTTTTAACAGATCCCTAAGTTGTAGTACATAAGGTATTTTGATGCTGGAAATCATCCTGTAATTGAATACCTCAACCACAACCTCAAAATCTATAAAGCTTCCTGCTTAGATTTCAAATACTGCCTGGTAAAATCTTTCCTCTTTGCCTCCTCTTTTTTTGGAAATAATAGGTGACAGGTTTTATTAAATGTATTGACAAGCCAAAATTTGACAATTCATGGTTGAGGCTGGCAGCTTTACATTTCTGATCATGCTCAACTTCAATTAAAGAGCACAAGAAATTGGCATCTTCCTAAAAAATGTTTCAGCTTGCATAAATCAGTGTTCTTCTTTCAGTATTGTTCAGATAAATACTCATACACAGAGGCATGCCAGTGACCATACTTTTATACTCTAGGATTAGAGACTAAATATGAGAATAAATCTGCTGGCTTCTGGAAAGGACTGCCAAAATCAGAAAAAAGTAAAGACGACCATGGGCTCCTTAGTTCTTGTCGCCTTCTGGAATCTAGAGATAGAACTATAGTCAAGAAACCTGGCGGTGATGCTGCACTAGCATAGTACGTCATTCTTAGTGGCCTACCCCAAAATATGGCAAAAACCACATGAAGGATTAGTATCACCTACTAGTTGGTGTTGCAACTTTCTTTGCCTAAGGTGATCAGTCTTGGCTTCTGAAACGCCATTTTTTCACTTGATGACGTTTTGACCCAGATGGTTTCTCAGCCTCACTCTTATAGTAATTTTAATTGATTCTGTTTTGCAGTGTCCCCTAAGACCTTTGAAAAAGGTCAGACGCAAGACCTATCTGCTTACCACGAAGATCATTCCTGCCATGTTTGAAGGACTTCACAGGTTTAGTAAAATAACACTTTATCCAGGAATTTTAATAATAGCTGACAGTTGGATATCATAATATTTCTATGAGAAAGGTAACCTGCTTTGTTGGGATAAAAAGGTTAAAGAAAATTTCACTCTGAATCCATGTTGACTAGGCTGAAATACCTCATCAAAGGATTCCAGTAAGAGACATCACCCTCACCATTCTTCAGCCATCAACTTACCAACAAATTATGTCATTCTTCTCACAGTAAAATAATTTTGGAAACTTTATCTAGCAATTAGGCTGCAAGATTTAACAGCTTACCTAGATACAGGAATAGTGATGTGCAAGTACTTCATCTTGACAGGCTTTTAAGGATGTAAGCATCTATATAAGAGCCATACTCCCCTACACCTCTTACTTTCACTGTATGCTGTTGTAGCAGAGAGACCACGAGAACTGGTTAAGATAAATTATTTTCCTGTGCAGATTGGCTTCCAAACCAATTATCATTTTTGAAACTAAAAAACATATTAATAATGTTAGCATTATCCCCTTATTCTTAACAACTCTATACAACAACTATATGTAACACGACTTTTGAGATCAAAGTGTAAAAACAAGGCACAGTTCCACAGAAACTCACACACCTCCTCCCTGCATTAACTCGATCTTGCAATATCATCTGTGCAGACAACTCCAGTACAAACTTATCAGTCATTTCCTTCACCTACTTTAACTATCCTGGCTCAAAAAATACTTTATTTTGAAGACTCTACTTGTAAATTACTTTTGTTTGTCTAGTTGAATGAACCATCAACAGCTTTCTCATTTTCTTCCACGTCTGACAATTCCGTAGCAGCATCAGTATAGCACTCCAACTGTCCTTATCCTTTCTCTACATAAACTGTAAATCATTATTGTTTCCATATAAAAGACAGAAAACAAGGGAACTGAAAGGAAATTCCTATTCCTGTGGATTACTGATGAACTATGGTTGAATGCGGTAACTTTTTTATTGACTGTGGCATCTGTGGACTTCTTTGATCAGTGGTAAAGCAAGGCAGACGCGATGAAAAGTGTATGAAACTGACGGTTAGGAACAATTCAAACAGAATCCTCTCCTGGATGAATTGGCAAGCATTGCTAAGGCTCAAGTGGAAGGTACTGCTTCAGTACAAATATAATCTTCTGAAAGAGAAGGGAAGGCTCAGGCAGGAAGACAAAGAACACCTGCATGCCTGAACAAACAACAAGAAAAAAGTTTGACCACTTAAACTGAAACAAACAGCTTTTCCTTGTGAGTCTGCATCTGCTGTTTGGCATTACAGAGCTAATCACAATTTTGCCACTGGTCCCATTCTCCTACACACCTGCCATCGATGCATAAGAGGTCAAGAAAGCATGGGATAGCCTTAGGATGCATTTGCACTTGTAAGGCAGTACCTCTGATGTTCCTGTTGTAAACACACTATTCGATTTGCTGTCATAGCCATGTATGTGTTCATTTGCATATAATAAACAGAATCTTGGGGGAGAAAATCTATACAATTAGCACATCAATCAGACTGTTCTTCTGATATCAATGCCCATTGACTTCTCCATAAATTCTCTTTCATAACTAATACGAATCATGAATTAATCATAAGGACTAGAAAAATTAACACCATCCAACGTTCATAAATCCTAACGTAGCATTAAAACATCTTTTTTTAAATATAGTCACTGATCCATTTGAATCCACAATCAGCCTATGTATGCAAACCGAACACATAATTCTGGCAGCCCTCTAGCAACACTGTTAGCTGTGCTTAAAAGTTTGTAGCTACCAGAGTGGAAGGATGAAGGAAAACTTTGTTTTCCTCACCAAATAGAGAGACTGCGTTCTTCCTGTTCAGATTCTGTGCTCTAAATATGGTGTTCTGCAGCTGTCTAACTCAATCTATCCAGGCTGCCCCCAAAATGCATTGTTTTGCCTGTGTCTGTATCCTGCTTTCCCACACTGTGATGGCACCAGCAATCACGCAGCTGTTTGAGGAGCACACTACTTAGGTAATTTGACTGGGGAGAAACTAGCACGGGGGGAGGTTGGGTTTGGTTTGTTGGTGGTTTTTTTTAGAGGTTGCTTTCATCTAGATCAGCTGGCTGACCTGACTACCGCTTTGCCATGTCATCACTGGTGCCGATGGAAAAGGGGTGCAAGGGTGCACGGCCAGGCTTAGAGCAGAACCTCACACCATGATCTACTTAAGCTGGTTGTAAAAGCTGACCTTTAATCTCTGCCACCCTCACTAGGCCAGCCTGATTCCCTCTTAGGTTTCCCAGAAGGTAAGTCTAGTGTGTCCCTAGCATGAGGAACATTATAGTAAGGTTTAGAAGTGCTACCACAAGCAGAAAAGCAAGTGTATTAAATGGTTATTTTGTGACTTTTTTTTTAAGAGGGGCTGGTTTTATTCCTCTTTACAAGAAAGATTCTGGTTGGAAAGCAGAATTTGGACCCCAAAGGAAAAAATATTCAGAAGTACTGATTTTGGTTAAAAAGGCACTCTTTTGGGAGAAGATAAACAGGAATATACCAAGCTACTGTTAGGCTGAAGTATGTTCTTTGTGTAGCAGAGTTCAGCTCTTTGCTCAGCACCATGTGGATGGTTGTTGAGACACATTCAACAGTGCGACCCAAGATTAGAACTTCTTTTTTTTTCTCATTCACTAACAAACTCACTCCTGGACTAAGCGAGGGCATTTGTTGCTTCCTCTTTAAGGGACAGGAGCAGTATTTTGAGGAATTAGGTGTTTAGCTTTTGGGTTGGCCTTTGTGTGTATATGCAAAGGGATGAGGCACAAAGAAACCAGGCAGTGGAAGAGGGGAACACGTTTGATGAGGAGAGGCTAACGGGCAAGAGGAGAGTTGGATGGAAACTCCATAGCAAGGAAAGAGAGGAAACTGCTCCCTGCCGATCAGTATACTTTCTTGTTATGCAGCATGAATACTGCCCTTCTGCAATCAAAGCAGTGTTCCTGTAAACTGAAATTTCCCCTTACCAGCCTTACCTTACATGTAGCGTACGCACTACCACAAGCAGAGCTGGCCACAGAGAAATGAACCAGCAGAGATCAGGGAGAGCTTGGATGATCTTGTATGTACTGAGAATAGAAGTGAAGAAGGGCCAAGACCAGAAGTTAAACCTCATCACTGATGAAATTCTGTGTTTTTTCACCACTTTCAAACACAGCATTCATAAGAACTAACAGAAAGCATCACGAAATAACAGCCTCCATCTGCAAGAAAAAGCTCTATAACTGTTACTCAGCAGAATGTGCACCTTGTCAGCTACTTCTGTCTCCGGAAAGACCAGTTCAGTTACCTTTTACTCTTTTGATTCCTGGGTCTCCAAAATAAACAGCACACAGGGTTGGCTGCAACAATGAGTGCTGGGAGGCTTTTGATTCTGGTCACCTATGTCTTCCCCAGATAAAGTCCAACTGATGCAGGCCTACTTATATTGCCATATAAATTCCTCTGTGTTTTCAGAGAGCTGCCCACTGTGTAAAGTAATGCTAGTCCTGACTACCTATTCCAGTAGACAAACTCCAAAGCTTAAATGGATTTCATTACCATGGTGCCATTTGTTCCTACATATTTACCTTACAGTAGGCAGCAGCACATGAATGTAAGGGTTTGCTAGACACACTACTAATAGTGAATTCTTAAGAATTTATAAAAAGTAAGAAATCAAGACAATTTTATGACCTTTCTAACCCAAAAGAGTGCAACAAAGCTTCTGCCTGGCATGGATATCATGAAGTCAAACAGATTAATGTAACAGAGAAATACATGACTATATGCTTTTAAAAAGTTGGTTTTGAGCTAGAAAAATAGATAAGTGATCCTATCACCTTAAAAGAAATTTCCTACACTTTCACATTCCAAGTTGAAATCACTTTGTCTATTAGTTATTCACTCTGTATTAATTCAAACATGCATACCTACCTTTATGGTAACGTTTCCTTTTGTTATTTTTCTCATATTGAAGCCTACTGTAGGAATCATATCTTCTGTGAACTGCCCTGACTAGAATACAAACAAACAAAAAAAAGTTATATTTACTATAAAATAGTTGATACTCATTTGCAATCTAAAATTTTTATTCTACAACATTGTAAAATATCACATCAATTTTCTTCAGGAGCACTGGCCAGCACTTCAATTAATGCATTGTCACGCCAAGGAAGACTGTTCATTTTAGTCCCTTTAAACAACCTTTTATTCTCCCCAGCGACAAAGATCACCCTAGAAACCACGAGACTTCGGATAATTCTTCATCTGATCCCTAAGCAAACCAGCACGGTCAAAATATAGAATCATAGCATCATAGGTTGAAAAGGACCTCTAAAGGTCATCTAGTCCAACCCCCAATATGATAAAATATGATAAAACGACTATATCAGGATTTTTCCCTGTAGTTTCTCACTACTGTTACCAATGGTTTAACTCCAAATGTAACAAACGGTGAAGGAGTACTCATGTAGAGAGTACTACATGCAAACCCTTTGCTTCTGAGTAGGTGACAGCAGAGAAAGCTGTGGAAGCTAAGAGAACACCATTAAGACAGAAAAATACAAGGTACTAAATCAGCACACCATAAACCCAAAACGTAAAACCAAAGTGCTGCCTCCTCCCCCTGGTTCAGAGAAGTATTTTTACAAGACAGATGCTTGTCATCATGCCAACAGGAACCTTACACACATCTACCCACTACAGAAAACAGCTTTTGAGGAGAAAGGTGAAACTCAGATCTAAGTAAATAACTCATTATTCATTCTTCCTTTTCAAAATGTATCATTAATATGGTCTCCTAGGAGTGGTGCATCAAGATATGCAGATGGTTACTTAAAAGTTAGGTCTACATAGAGGCCCAAGCGTTCTCTGCAACACATACAGTAGTCCTGGTTTTCCAGTCATCCAGAAAGGAGAGCAGGACCTTCTGGACTTGCCATTGCCCTTCCATATCTATCTGCCCATAGTCCCTTCACCCATCTCATCATCCCATGTGCCCTGGGTTTTTTTTGGAAGGAAATATGGGTATGTGGACAACGAGGGAAGCAGGCATGCTCCAACAGGTCCCTCCCATCTAGAGAAGTCGATGATCAGAGCTTCAGGGTGCACCAGAGCAGCTACATGCCTCACAGTGCACACATTGCCACCAGCTACCCCTAATGCTATTGCTAGTCTCTGTATGCTTTCTGCAACTTTTCTCTTCACTGTTTGTGGTAGAGTGAGAATACACTATGCCTCCAGCTTGTGTTCACAAACTAAGATCAATTATTTTTAATCTGGGACTTTAAAAGCTGTATAACCTTTGACAGTTAGTTGGTCCTCTCACAAGATTTTGGGGTTTGGAATTAGATCCTTCAGGCAAGAAACAACTTCCATCAATTACTTGTTCAACCTTACCTATGGGAACCTTCTTGCTAAATTCTGTACTATACATCTTCACCATCTTTTGTTTCTGGAAGTCTCTTTTTTCCCTCCTCTCTCCTTGCTTCAGTGACTTGCCAACAGCAGTAGGAAAAAAAGTGAAGACAAATACACCTGCAGTTTCATACAGATACACATACCCAGCAGTGACAGAAGTTTTTAATTGGATGGAGTAAGACAAAGCCAATCAGTAACCACCTCCTATAGTAGGTACTGGCCTAATTGTTAAAATATATAGTACATTTATTTGTGGAGGACAGACATATAAACAGGTATGAACACATAAACCCTGAGAATGTAGCATCATTATTCAAGCTCAG